CAGGTTTCTGGCTCTACCTGGTGAATGGTGTGACCACTCTTCGAAATAGATGTTATAGGAGGCAGAACAGGTGGGGGAGAGGGGAATGGATGAGCTCAGCTTTATCATTTTAACAAGGTTTGGGGTATTTGCAGCTACTCAGGTGGAGCTATGCAGCAAACTGTTGGATGTGCATATTTGCAGATCAACAGAGAATTCTGGAAAGTCCACACAGATGCAGCAGCCACGATGTATAAACAGGATGAAATCCCCGGGGATGGATGGATAATCCTGAGAGGACATATGGAAGCAAGAGTCACAACTCAAATGACACCAGGGCTCAGATGAGCTGTGGTCAACATGTGTGAATTGACTGTACATGAAACAGAGTGCTGGGTTCATGGCTAACTAGAATGGGTATGCTCTGTCTAAGGCAGCAAGAACTGGTCTGTGGGCCACTGGTTTGTGATTCTCAGACCTTTGAAACTCCTCTCTATTTCATGTCTCCTTTTTAACAAAGATGTTTATGCCAGGTCGCTAGTTGTTCTGAAACCCCATTTCCTCTGTTGAGACACTCACTGTAATTCCTAGCCTCCATTGCCAGTGGCCCCGTGACTGGCTTCTAGCCAGTGGAATGTGAGCTCCAGTTCAGGCCAGAGCCTTGAAGAAGAGGGTGTACCCCCTCCACACTCTCCTCTTCCTCTGGCTAGATGTCCATGATGATAAAGGATAGTGGCTATTAGAGCCACAAGATGGAAGGAATTAGGGTCTGTGTATCTCTGTTTGTCGTGAGGTCACCTACCAACCAGGGAATTTACTTTCGGCTATTATGGAAGTGAAAGATAAACTTTTGTTATGTTTGAGCCATCACACACATTCGGTCCTGTTTGTTACTGTAGCCTAATGCATCCACTTCTAAACCAAACTTGTTCCGATTGTGATCTTTGTGAGGTTAGCGATCTTACAGTTCACTGATGCATTCTTAGCTCATATCCCAGGACACAGCAATGAGTAGACACATAATAAAGTTTCTTGACAATGCTAGCTATGTGTCATTGAGCATCTGGTATGCACCAAATACTGTGCCAAATCTTTTATGTATTGTGCATTATTTCATTTCATGTAATGACAACTCTATAAGGAGGGCTCTATTGTTATCTTTTTTCCTCGATGAGAAAATTGAAGATTAGAAAGCTTATTTATGGTATTCATATTTAAGCAGGGTGAGTCCAGGTTCTGCTTTCTAATACACCAGTCTGTAGACGTGTGCAGACTCACCTTAACATTTTAACTCATGTAATTTCTCCCACGAAAGATGCCCTCAACCCTTCCTCTCCATGTATTGAAGCCTTTCTTCTTCCTTCCCGGGATCCATCAATCATTCTATCCTTTAATTAGTCCAGCAGGAATTTCACATGTATCATTACTATAACAGGGATTCCATGTATTTATCTGCCTCTAGAAAGAAGTTACCTTGAAAGTAGCATAATATCTTAGGCATTACTCTTCTGTGTTCCTTAGAGCAGAGGGGAAGATGGAGAATTCACCATGTATCAGCACTCTAGGCATCAAGGACTCAACTGTGAATAAGACAGAGGCAATCCTTTCTCTTGAAAAGCTTAGATTGGGGGAGAGGGCAAACAATATGAAATACATCTCAGCTACAACGTAACCTCTGCATTATCAGAGGCAGAAAAAAGCAAGGAACCAATGCTTCCTGGAGAAGGAAAGAAAGGATTCCCAGAGCAGTTGATCTTTGATCTGAGCTTCTGAAGGATGTGTAGGAGTTCTCCAGTTGTTTAAGAGGGGTCTTAATTAGTGGGAAAAGCATACACAAAAAGTGTGGATGTGGTAAGATGCAGGAGCCATTCCAGATGAGTGAGGTGTTGACTAGCTCAAATGTACTCTTTCACTGACTCATTTATTTCCTACTGAGTAAACCTAGAATATGTCAGGCATTGTGCTAAAATGTACAGGATTCAAAAGTGAGAAAAACAGACATGATCCCTACTATAGTGGAAGTTAAACTCCATGAGGGATTGCAGTTGATTTCCGATCTCTAACCATCATGGGTGAGAGAGATAGGAGGATGGGATAGCCAGATACATGAAGGAGAAGTTGGAAAAGGGGCTGAGCTAGATGGTAAGAGACTTCTGACACTAATCTAGGGAGAAGGAAGTCCCCTTTCGTGCTGGCACCAAGTTCTGCCTCTTCCCCCTCCCTGATAGCATTCAATTTATCAAGTCTTGTCCCCATCACGATGCTCAATAAAGGCCACTATCTCTTCCTGGAATGAATGTGACAGTCTTCTAAAGGACGTCTCGCTTCTCATCCCCTATGCCCCACCCATCATTCCCAGTGTAAACACAGTGATTGGTCAGAAATGAAATCTAATCATTTTATGCCCTGTGTTAGGCAGAATTCTAAGACAGTCTCATGGTCTCTATTTCCCTAGTGATTATGTTACATTACCCAGCAAAAGGGATTTTGCAGATGTGGTTAAGGTTACTAATCAATTGACCTTAAGATGGAGAAATTATCTAGGTGGGTTTGCCTAATCCAGCACTTTAAAAGCACAGAGTTTTTTCCAGCTAGTGGCAGAAGAGTAGGGCAGAGAGATTAGAAGCAAAGGAGGACTGGATAGGTTTGACATGCTGTTGCTGGCTTTAAAATGGGTAGGGGTTGTATCCCACAGAAAGGAACTGAGAGAGACCTCTAGTTGCTCAGAATTACCCTGGCTGACAGCCAAAAGAAATTAGGGAATTCAGACCTACAACTGAAAGGAACTGGACGTGAACAACTTGAATGGGTCTGGAAGTAGATTTTTCCCTTGAACTTTCAGACAAGAGCTCACACCAGCCAAAACTTGGCCTTTGTCCTCAGACACCCCAAGTGGAGAACCCAGCAGGCATGAGAAGCTGGATTTGTGACAGAATGGTGAAGTAATATATGGGCATTGTTTTAGGCCATTAAGTTTGCACCAATTTGTTTACACAGCAATAGAAAACCAATAAACCTTCAAGGTTTCCAACCCTTTAATAAAACTACTGTGGACTTACCAGGTCCAGGCATTTAATCATTGTAACAGTTGTATTAGGTAAGTATTTTCATTATCACAATTTCACAGATCAGGAAACTGAGGTTCAGCAAAACTAAATATTTCTCCTAAGGTCAAAAGAGCTAGTCAGTGGTGAGCTGAGATTTTTATTGGCCATTCTGACCTCAGATCTGCATTCTATAGGTTCTTGTTGTTCTTGTGATAAATCCAAATATATAAGCATAGAATTAAAGGTTCTTCCCGATTTAGCTCCTGTTCAGTGATCCAACCGCATTTTTATAATAGACACTTCTTTCAGGGAAACTCCTTGCAGCCCCAGTAACTACCATATTCTTGGTTCCCTGACTTTGCACTACTGTTCCTTCTGCCTTGAGTGCTGCCTGCCTCTCCTCTTCATCTGTGTTCCCTTTGGCAGACTCAAGTGGTCCTTTGGACCCTGCCTAAGATACCACCTCTGGGAGTTGGGGGTTTGGGGGCTTCTTTGCTCTTCCCAGGTCTGGATGCCATTTCAGGTTCTCCAAGCACCTCCTGCTCTCCTGTGTCAGAGCACAGAAAACGAGGCGTTGGAAATGTTCACTCAGCTGTGCTCTCCAGTAGATGCCAAGCCCCCTGCAAACCAGAACTGGTGATTTGTTCATCATCAAATCCCTAGCGCAGGACGGCGAGCACAGTAGGTACTCAATAAATACTGCCTGAATGAATCAGGGAACGAACAAAAACGCTTTAGCTAAGAAGCAGTGGGGAACCATCCAAGGTCTTGAAGCAAGGGAATGATTTTATCATCAGACCTGTGCTCACAAACACAAACTCAAGGCAAGCCTGGCACGCAAGGGACCTTTCTCATGAGCAGCTAAGGACAAAACGACCATGTTGACGTTGTGGCCTTGGGTTCTTGTGCTATGACACTTGGCTCTTAACTCTACTAGACCACACTGGATACTAGAAAATGCCAGAAACATTCACAGTTCCTTCTTATGGAAGGGGGATGCTTGTGGCTTGGATCTGGGCCCCAAACTCTCACTGAGATGAGTCTCTCTGCCAAGAAGGGAAGCCCAGGTGTGGGACCCACGGAGCAGACAGCTGCCGCCGAACGTCCCCCTCGGCCTACACGGTCCAGGCTTACCCTCGTTCTCCAAGCATACTACTGCATCTTGATCTCCTTAAATATGCAAACATTGCCTCCTGTCCAGGGAGACTGCTGTACGTGGTCACGCAATGCTATTACTGTGTCTCCACTAGAGACCGTTGGGTGCTTCGGTTGGCCTGTCTGTGCAAAGTGTACTTTCTAGACGGCACCCCCTCGAGGGACCAGGAATCGCGTCTGGGGGCGCGGGACAAAATGAGAAAGTCAAGCAAGATGTGTCAGACTAGCTGTAGACACAGAAGTGGAGTCAGTAGGCCGAGGGACAAGCAGCGCCGATTCCTGCCGAGGCGCAGGCTTCCAGCTCTGCAGCAAAAGGATCTCAGAGTCCTCCCTCTCGCCGGCGCGGGACAGAGTAGCAAGTTGGCGGAAGGGGCTGAGACTCACGTTGCCAACAACGCGCGCGAGGGACCGACAGGGCGCACCAGGGCGGAGAAGCTGCTAGGGGCGGGTCCGGGCGCTGCGCCTTCAGCTCTCACAGCCGCTGCTCTGGGCGCTGGGGGCGGGAGGGGGTGGAGCCATGTGGGGAGGAGCAAAACCCGGAGGCCCCGGGCACCTTGGGCAGAGCCACAGAGGCGGGAGCCCGATCGGGGCGCGTTGCCCCGGGAGCGCCCGCCGTCCGGGCCGAGCGCAGCCGCAGCCGCAACGGCTCCAGCCAGTGCCGGCGCCTGCCTTCTGTGCACAGCCAGGGAGAAGGGCCAGTGCCACCGGCTGCGGGGGCCACGGGCTCCTCTCCCGCACCGGAGCTGCTGGACTGCTCGCGCTGCCCCTGCCACACCAGCAGAGCCCCGTTGGACCTGCCACCTGTGCTCCGGTTGCGCCATGGATCCTTCAGAGAAGAAGATATCGGTGTGGATATGCCAGGAGGAGAAGCTGGTGTCTGGCCTTTCCCGCCGCACCACCTGCTCGGACGTTGTGCGAGTGCTCTTGGAGGATGGCTGCCGGCAGCGACGGAGACAGCGGCGGGGCCGGCGGCGAGGGGCGGCCGGCGACCCTCCAGGCCCAGGGGAGCTGTCCGAACCCCTGGACGAGGACAGCGAGGACGACGAAGAGGCGCTGCCGCAGGGCATGCTGTGCGGGCCCCCGCAGTGCTATTGCATAGTGGAGAAGTGGCGTGGCTTTGAGCGCATCTTGCCCAACAAGACGCGCATCTTGCGCCTCTGGGCCGCCTGGGGTGACGAGCAAGAGAATGTGCGCTTCGTGCTAGTGCGCTGCGAGGCGTCGCTGCCTAACGCGGGGCCCCGCAGTGCCGAGGCGCGCGTCGTGCTCAGCCGCGAGCGCCCTTGCTCGTCCCGGGGGGCCCCAGCGCGGCCCAACCTGGCCATGACCCAGGAGAAGCAGCGGCGGGTGGTGCGCAAGGCCTTCCGCAAGCTGGCCAAGCTCAACAGGCGGCGCCAACAGCAGCCACCGTCGTCGTCGTCCTGTTCATCCACTTCGTCGTCCACAGCCTCCTCCTGCTCGTCTTCGCCGCGGGCCCACGAGGGAGCATCGGTGGAGCGCATGGAGACCTTGGTGCATCTGGTCCTCTCCCAGGACCACACGATCCGCCAGCAGGTGCAGCGGCTCCGCGAGCTGGACCACGAGATCGACCGCTACGAGGCCAAGGTGCATCTGGATCGCATGCGGCGGCACGGGGTCAACTACGTTCAGGAGACTTACTTGGTGGGGGCAGGCATAGAGCTCGACGGGCCCAGCCCGGGAGAGCAGCAGGCGGAGGTGGCAGCGGCGGAGAAGGAAACGGTGGCTGCGGCGCCCGTAGACGGGGAGACCCAAGCGGCGGCGCTGGAAGAGCTGGCCCGGCGCTGCGAAGACCTGCTACGGCTGCAGGAGCAGCGGGTTCAGCAAGAGGAGTTGCTAGAGCGCCTTTCGGCCGAGATTCAAGAGGAGCTGAACCAGAGGTGGATGCGGCGGCGCCAGGAGGAGCTGGCGGCAGGGGAGGAGTTCCCGGAGCCCGACGGTGGCCCCGACGGCGAGCTGCTGCTGGAGCAGGAGCGGGTCAGGACGCAGCTCAGCACCAGCCTTTACATCGGGCTCCGGCTCAACACCGACCTAGAGGCCGTCAAGTCGGACTTGGATTACAGCCAGCAGCAGTGGGACAGCAAAGAGCGGGAGCTGCAGGGCCTTCTCCAGACTTTGCACACTTTGGAGCTGACAGTGTCGCCGGATGGGACTCCCAGCTCTGGAGGTCCCTTGCAGGAAGCCGGGCCTCAGGCCTGCGCCGAGGTGTGGGTGGACCAGGCCCGCGGGCTGGCCAAGAGTTGTTCTGGCAACGACGAGGACTCGGACACCGGGCTGAGCTCTATGCACAGCCAAGACTCGGACTCTGTACCTGTGTGCGAATCCCTTGTGTAGGAGCAGGGAGGGAGACGGGGACGGATGCTTCTCGTTTTCTTGCAGAATGCACTGGTCTGGCCGGCTCAGGGACTTAGAACCAGGCTGGGATGAGTCCGGAGCTCCGGTCTGGCAGTAGGAGAGGGCTGGGGACGCCTGCCCCGCAGCGGTGCTCTCCTGGTTGGGGCGAGAGTGTGGAGGAGGGTAAGGGAGGAGAGAGCGGGTCACCAATCCAAGATCTTTTAAGGGGAGGAGGAGGGAGAAGGTGAGAACCCCCTATATTGGAAAACACCAGGGAAATTGACGTGGTCCAAACCCATTTTCAAAAAAAAAGACAAAAACAAAAGATATCGTGGAGACTTCACCACTTTTCTGTATGGGAAGGACTGATGGCAGCTAGACCTTTAGTTTGTGGCATAAAGTGCTTTTAAAAGAAACACTTGGATGAAAAGGAAATTCCTTGAATGTTAATTGTGACTGTAAACGTGTTAAAACTAGCCAAAGAGAACTCCCTGGTGTTGGTCTCAGTCTCACACATCTTTGATAAAACTCATAGGCACCAAGATCCCGGCTGTTTACGTTTCTGCAGATTAGGGAATTACCCATCTGCTAAATCAGTTGACTTCTCTTTTCTTTCAAAGGCTAAACTGTGTTGAAGTTAACTGTTTTTCTTCCTGGTAAATACAGTATATACTAGAAGGAAATTCTTTTCCCAAAATAGCCTTTTATTATTACAGAAGCCAAACATAACACTTTTGAGATATAAAATCCTGGCAAACATAGTCCTGGTTAAAATTTAAGCTGGGCCCTTGGGAACTGTTCCCGCAAAGGCAGGTGTGTTGTCCTTTAATTCATATTGCCACTCCATTGATTCAATCACTGTTAGTTCAGAAAAAAAATGAAAGGAAGTTGCAGAACTCATGTGACGCACAGCTAAATTTGCCGCTCAAGGAACACTCTAGTTAAAACTAAGACTTGAAAGCAAGATCTTTGTTGGGATTCAGTGTTTGAATTGACCTATATGATTAAAAGCAGCCATGACCTCAACAGATTTTTACCCAGACTCAAGTCTAACTTCAGTATCTTTGGTCAGAGATTAATTAGTTACTTGTTCAAGCTTGAATTGAGATAGGATAAATATCAGAGTTTCCCAGATAAGGCCTGAAAAGAAAAAATAAAACAAAACAATCTCGTAGTACATCTTGGGTTAGCAGTATGACTAACAATGGCACGTAGCCATGGATGGATAAAGTGAGCTAAGGACTTGAATTACTCTTGTCTGGCAGATGCCTATGCACATGTCGGGCAATGCAAGAGCAAAACCTTCCTACCACCGGGTAACAGCGCTGGTGGGGACTCAATGTTTAATTGTTCTGTTTATTTCCATTAACACTTATCAGTTGTAGCTAGTTGTTAGCCCCGTGGAAGGAGCCTGCTGGCCGATTTCCCTCCGGAGCTGGGTACTGAGTACGTCTGAGGAATGTGGGATCTAATCTGTCCTGAGGAGGTATTAACAATGGGGCATGTGTGTGGTACTGGCTTGGTGCAAAAGCCTGGTATCAACGTCCTGTTAAGGAGCTGGCTCCAGTTTCAACACTACACGTGAAGATAACGAGATCTCGCTTTATATAAAAGTTTCTTTCCTTGCAGAGATCTCCTTGTTGCCAAAGGGAGACTGCCCTTCTGACCTCCTCATGCCACTATGCATGCCATCTCCTTTTCAGAGACGGCCTGCCACCACTGTTTTGGTATGACAACACGTGTGTATGTTTGCAGATTTTCAAGTAAAATGAGCATTAAAAGGCCATTTTCTTAATTGATGTTTTCAAAAGAGATTAGCTGGCATAATTATGGTTTTTTAGTTTCATCTGATGCAGAAAATGGCTATGTATTTGGTCCTGAGTGTGATTAAAATGAGGAAGGGACCGAAAGAAACCCACTGTCCCCAGACAATCATTTGCTCCCATAAACACAAAACCTAATGATAGCTTTCATTTTGAAGTGGAGGTAAAATCCTCATTAGAGTATGACAAATGCTACTTGTCTGAATGGTTTTATGCTGGCAATGGGCTGACCTGGTGGTTTTTAAATTATTGTGCTTTTTTTTTTTTTTTTTTTTTACCCCCAGGGTGGTAGGGGAGGTTGGTTCTTGGACGTTTATTAACTCAAAAAGAACATAGAAGTTGGCAGAACACGACTGCCTGGCAGAATGGGGCTGTTTTCCTTTTCACTGTTATTATTTTAAACTTTGATGGGCTGCTGATGTCAGCAAAGACGTGTGAAGCCTGTAAAGCAAATAAGCCACATCACAGGGAGCAGGCCTGGGGGCTTTTCTGGTGCCTTGTCTCTAGAACCTTCCCTGTCCTGACTGCTTGAAGATGCCTCTCTGGTCAACCCTTTGTGAAGCTCTTCAGGAAGTCGGCCCAGTTTTCTTTTGTTCAGCTCAGTTCTATTCCTAAAGGGCATTCTCTGTGTGGGCAGGAGAAAGGGGAACAGGGCCGGGGCAGGGGGAGATAATAGTTCCTTTCATCAACAGCTTCTGCAAGCCCAGGAAAGGTGAAATAGAGGTATAAAAAGCACCCAAACCGTGTCTGTGCATAGAAAGTACTTAATAAATGCTAAATGTTTTACATTTTCATTCACATTTATAATCATCATGGCACTAAGAGGACAGAAATGCCAGGAGGGAGCAGCAAGGTTGTGGAGCAGAGTATGACGTTCATATGCCCCCCCCACCCCCAACCAGCCCTCATCGTTTTCTTGGAATTCAGACAGTTTATGGTGTCTTTGATCTGAATTATCCCATTCTTAGCCATTTCTCAAACCCAAAGATTCCATATGGGATCTCTATATTTGTTTACTCCCTTATGAAATGTGTTTGTGGTTATTTTTTCCTGATTAGGAACGTTATAGACTGTAGCCCTTCTGGTAAGCCGCAAATAACATAAATAAAACAATAGGAGAAAGTCACCCAAAGCCTATCACCACCAGAATTTGGTATATTTCCTTCCAGACTTTTTGAATTGCACCGATTTCATATTTTGCTTCTGTTTTTTAAAAATAGCATTTTGATAAGATCGTACATACACTTTTACACTCAGGTTTGGACAATCTCCTTGTAAACACACCCATCCGTCTGGTGGATACACACCATAGTTGATAGAACCACTCGTGTTATCAGGTTGTTTCCCATAATTTTATTTTATTTTTTTACTGTTATAAACTAATAGCATGATAAGCTTCTTTGTGTGTGTATCTGTTTCCCTAATTAGATTCCCATCCTGCCCCTAATAAGATAGGTTCCCAGAAAGAATTCTCAGGTCAAAGAGTCCAGACATCGGAGTCTTGATAACTTACTGCCAAATTGCTTTTCAAAAGATTTGTTCTAATTATTTAATATAATCAGCGATGCTGGAAAGTGCCTATTTTACTACAGCGTAGCATCCGTTAGGTATTATATTTTATTAAGGAAACATGTTCATCAAAATTTACTGATTAGTTCTTTGTGGCCTCAGGAAGCTGGGGCTAGCAATCACTGCTGAAATATTCTTACAACAACAAGAGCAAGTCGGCAGATCAGAAATGTTGACAGGGTGTGGGGTTTTCTGTCTTTCTCATTTTTTCCCTTTCCTTAAACACCTGCTTAAGGTAATAGCAATATTGTCTCTGATCAGAATTGGCCAATAATCTGAGATTAGGAGTGGCAAAAACTCCACCTAAGTAGAGTGAAAAATAGAATCAGATTTATACAAAGAAGATACTATCTTTTTCATCTTGAGTCTAGCAAAAAAGGGCTCTCATAGAAGGTGGCACCATAAAACATAATTGACTTCGTGCTTCTCCCTATTCATGTCTATCAAAAATAAAATCAAAATAAACACATAAACCAGTTGTTGGTTAACAACCTCTATCTATCAGGTTAGAGCTTTCTGGGAATTTCTTTCGACATTTGAAACTGTGCTTGAGCTTTTTCTTAAATGTTTGGAAAGGAAAGATTTGATTATGACAATCTGTGAATTTTCCAGCGTGAAAATGTTTGTGATGTTTTCTGAAACAGAAAAGAACGAAGATGAGGAGGAAACCGGCTTTTGTTGAGTGCTTTCCACATGACAGGTCCTTGTGCTGAGTATTTTCACGTGCATTTACCTTGCTTGAATCTGGTGAGATAAAACTTTTTAACCACCAGTTTTTACAGATAAAGAAACTAGGACTCAGCTGCCAAGTAGCAGGTGCAGGATTCGAACCCAAGCCTGACCCCCAAAGCTGTGCCCTTGTTGCTACACACATTAGCCACATTATACACATTGTGTTCAGCACACCCAGAAAAAGCCACACTCTCATGGCTCCAGAGTGTTGGCATTGGGCAGACTGCAGAGATTGTCCTTGTCTTGTCTCAGTATTTCCAGTGAGTAGGTAGAATAATTTTCTCAAAGTCACCCACCTAGCAAATATCTGCTAGGTGAAGATTCACCAAAAGACAAAGGAGAAATTCCCACATAAATACAAAGGAAAAATTCTCACAAAAAATCAATACCCCACTTACTAGCACAGAGTTCTGCCTGAGTGTCCCTAGGCATGTAGCTGCTCCGCAGGGCACAGTTGTATCGCCAGTCAACAACAGGAATTCCCAGGCTTCAGGGCAGACAGCTCTGTGCTATTCACATTCACATCTGGAAGGTCACCCATCATGGCTGTTCTGAGCTGTCCTCAGCACTTATTTCTGTTTGAGCCTCTGGGCAAAGAAGGATTAGCGAAGAGTCAAGAGGAGGAGTGCTGGGCCTTCCAAGGACCCCTGTGCCCATAGAGTTAGGCGTGCACACCTGGCTCAGGGCATCTGTGGCCACGTTGACCCCGCTGTGCACGTTGCGACCTGGTATGGGTTGTTTTGAAGGACTCTGTCCCCATCTCTGCATTTGCATCCATTCCTGTTACAAATCTCTTGCACTTCAGACACTTCTAGGAGTTCCCATAGCTTTCAGGATGCAATGTACATTTATTTTCAGAATTTATAAGGTTGTCGG